AAATAAAATTGAGAAAACTGTCTTACATAGCCAGGCCCATGGAGCTCCACTGTGCCAAGTGAAGCAACCATTTCTTTCTGAAGAAATGGTTTCTTTTTCTGGGCAAAGGATGAAAGGTGAGGACAGAGCAGTACTGTGAAGCTGTAGCTGGGGGGAGTCCCTGGCAAACTTCCTCTGGGGTGGAAACCGTAGGTCAAATTTGACATCATCCCCTCCCCTTATGCACACACTACATCTGCACGAGGTGAGTGGAAACCACTAGAATAATAAAACATTTTTATACCATTTCGTGCAAGTAAGAAGATYGATAACAGAAAACATAAGTGGAAAATGAGCCAGAATATGAGTGCTTAAMAACTAGGGAACTAAAGAGGATTTAACTGGCACAGGGGGCTTTCTGCTGGGTGAAAAGGAACAGTTGCCTGGCTGAAAACAAGCAGAGGCAGAGGAACCAGATTTGAAGGGAGCAATTCAGGTGTCTAAACAAAGGCAAGTAGTGCTTTCAAGATTTGCTGAGGTATCCAAGCCACCTGCAGTGTTCTGGAAGGGATGAGGCAGGAAGTGCAGACCAATCCACCCACCCATCCAGGGCAGCAGCTGAAGGCTGGAGTAACCTCAGCAACATTGGAATGGCACTAGATACCAGGAATCCAGGTACCAGAGTCCCTGGTATTTCTCCCTAGATCCAAGATTTCTCTTCTCTGAACCTAAATATCTGAAATGAAATGTTGTGGCTGGTTGCTGGCATCTACAGATGGAGAACTAGCTGAGAATAAAAGATTGGCTGCGGGTTTGACTTGTTGGAGAATTGTGACAAAGCCCTACTTAGCCATGGATGTGAGGGTAGATCATAGAGCATATATATATATTTCTTTATATTTCTGGCTGTTGATTACTGGCTTTCAATACTCTGGGATGTTCTTCTAGACCAGCAATAGGCAGTAGGAATGGGGAAGAAGGCAGCTCTCTGAGGTGAGCAGGGAAGGGAGGGGAGAGAGGACGGCTGTGCATAGCCTGTCACTGAGAACGTGGCTTTGGCTGATCCTTCAGCAGGGAAGCGCCTGAATCCAGGCATTAGCATGAACTTTGCTTACAGCCTTGTAAGCCAGCWTGATGTATTTCCACATCTCAGAGATGGAGCTCCTCAGGGGAAAATCCGGAATTTTATTACCATGCAAATCCAGTTGGGATGCTGCTTTCTTATTTCCCCATCCCCCCATCTTTCCCTTCTCTGCCTAAAAATTACTTGGGTGTGCAACCATACTTTTCCATATTGCCTCTTGAAGTATCCCAGAAGTGTTATTAGACTTGTGCAGATGGATATATTCACTAAATTCTCCTTAATAGCTACAAATCCATACCCTGAACTTGCCTATCACATACTGGGTCAAATAAACTAGCAATGTTCAGATCATGATTATGATCTGCCAATTCTTGTCTGATCATTATTTTAAAATTCAGTAGTTCAGTTGGCTCCTGCTCTTGAAATTATCACCTTTTTCATGGGATTGTTTGAATGGTATGTAATTATCATGGTTTTATTTATCTATTTATTTTTAACAGTCTAATTCTTCACTACAACTCAAAAGATAAATTCAGACCCAAGATTAAAAAAAAATAGTCTGTTGGGTTCTGCCTCTGCATTCTTTATGCCTTTGGCAGTTTTTTCTTCAGCAGAAATGCCTCATTACTGAGTTTGGCATCCCATAGTCAACACCACAGTATGCTAAGCTCCACATTCTGGTAATTGCTGCTAAATGTTCAGTTTTTTCGGTCACAACCACTGTGGGAGCCTTTTTATAGTAGAGGAGATGTAAATACCATGTAAAAAGATCAAAAGGTGAGTYAGAAACTTATCTAAATCACAGTAGCCCCAGATAAAGTCTGCCCTGTTGCCGTAAATAGATTGTCACAAGTGAGTTAGGGAAAGGGTTGAAAGTAGAAGAAATCTTGCATCCTGATAAAAATTGAATATGTACCAAACTTACCAATTTTTTTTTTTTTCAATAATTAAAAGGTTGCATATAGCTATGATTACAAGGAAACCATTCCTATTTGGACAGAAACAAAAGAAAATGCAGGCATTTCAAAAGTTTTGCTGTTGCCTACCTCCTCTACTGTTGTGCAAATTTCACAACATTTACATATATTATTTCAACTCCAACACATGCAATGCCAACAGATTTAATCCTAAAGGCATTTGCAGCTTGAATTTCTTACATAAGGATCGTAAATCTAGAATGGGAAGCCTGAAATCGTTAAAGTCACATATTTATAAAATCATATTCAATTAGGTTAAAAAAGTGCAATTTCTGTCATCATGTCATAAAAAGATGTGTTTTTCTCTCAGATCTACTATAAAGAAAAGCTCCCTATATTGTTACAGATAGAGGCTGTTTTCAATCAGTTACAAGAAGCAATCCAATTACTGGATGGTTTAGTGCAGTAACTGACTCCAGACTAATTTAATTTCTTTAGGTCTCCAAAGATCAATTGATCTGATTTGTTTCCCTCCCCAAAGGCTGTTTAGGAAAAAAGCAGGCTTAAATACCTGGAAATGAAATACAAAGCTCTGTACGCTTTCACACTACTTAGGTCATTTGAAAAAGCTGGAACTCAGGATAAATGAGCGCTGTCTTGGCCCCAGCATCGCGGGATGCTTTACAGGAGCCCGTCAGGATCACCACGCTGCGCTGTCGATTACACCCGCATGTACTTCGTGCTGGTCTGCTTAGGGAGCAGGGCAGGGAAAGTGTTCTCACAGCTTTTAGATCACTATTCAATTTTCAAGAGCTGTGCAAGCGTGCTTTAGCTTTTATAGTCTTTTCTTTAGCAAATGAGTGTTTTTCCAGCAGTGATCTTACAGAAATAGCTAAGTKTCCAACTAGATTGAGCAAGAGCTGTGCTGTACTATTCAACGTTCACCTATTTGCAATGCATGTGGCAACAGACATCAAGTGAGAAATTCTTCCTGTTGTCACATCTCAATTTACTACTTYTTTTGCTTTGTTTCAGATTTCTTTAAGCAATTTTGCTGGTCCTAAGATGAAATCCAAAGAACCAGTGGGAACTTAGAGAATGATGTCTCATCTGCCTGAATATTTTAAAGGAGAACTGAATAAACCCCTTGATATTTCTGGACCATATTGTATAACTTAGGCAATTCTCAGTCTCTTGCCGGTCCACTTGCATGTTACACTTCTGTTATCTCATGACTTGATGTGCTGTGCAGCAGATTTTTTATTTTTAAATGCTATTGTGATAGCAATCAAGGCAAAGCTTTCTAATTTAAGTCAAAATCAGACCTTACCCAAACTTGGACTCTCAAATCCAGAGTTTTAATGTCATCTTAATACCTTTCACACTCTGTTTCTCGCATTTGTTGCAGACTTTACATTTGTCTGCCTTATCTTTCATGGCAACATTTGTGCCTGGGCTCTGCTGCCTGTCTCAGGCTCTATTCTTACACTTATCAATAAACAAAAGGGCACTGTGGCTTATGCTCAGCATTTCTGACTCCATGCCATGTGCTGTTATAATAAGATGTCCTCTGGAAAAATTCCCTTCGTATCCAGCACCACGATAGTCGGCTCATCCGCACAGAGGTAACTAAGTTTTTCTCCCAGCTTATCTGCTCAGACTCCTTCCGCCCTTGCAAAGCTGTGCCATTAGATGTCTCTTSTCTGTAAAACAAGCAAGCCTTTTCTGACAGGCCCTCCCTTGACTACTTATTGCATACAAACCTGAGCTTTGGATGTTCTTTACCTCAGTATTCTGTCAATATAGCAGGCTATGCTATTTTTATTCAATTTGCCTAGATTTTTTGGTTTTTATTTTTAATGAAAGCTTTCACTTAAGTAACAATTTTCAACAACTTGGCAAGTGTGCACTGCAGCCTACAAGCTTTCTTTCTCCAAATTACTGCTCTTTTACCCATTTGCTCAATGGATCACTAATGATTCAGTCACTAGTAAGGTGTGTAAGGGATCCCACTATTTCCCATCCATGGATCTGCTTAGATAGATGGACTTTTGAACTGTTGTAAAGACTTCCTCTATCTCTGTGGCTATGACTTCATTGAGAAGTTTGTCCTCTGTGTGCACCTGTGAAAAATAATTCACACACATCTGGATATCCCCACATAGGAGCCTGGGGGGTTTTGGCCTCTCCAAACTTTCTTTCATGATTGTGTGCTCATAGGAAAAATTGGATGTGCTATATCCATCTCCATTGAGTTCTCTTCCAGCTTAAAGGACACAGGCAGCTTAATCTGCTTCATTTGCCAAGCTATTTGACAYGATATCATAAAAATGTGGCTTGCTGGAAAGCTACCAAGAGATTGAAGTTTATTTCCTAACTCAGCTGTGGGTTAATTCTTCTSTCCCTATGGCAGCAGTTGCTTGTAATGAGCTGTACAYACACACAACRGTTTCCAGATAAAGCTTTCCCCTGRTGCAGTTTGCAATACAACTTTGGCGAAACAAAAATGGCATCTTTGTTGTCAGGGTGGGAGTTATGGGAGTCGTCCTGATGGCAGTAATTGCTGATTCAGTGTCTGGGACTGCTGAAGTGAATTTTGGGAGCCTCTCCTCTCTCTTTTCCACTCTGTTGGGCAGTGGGGTGCTGTAAAGATGTTTTTCACAGAACCATTGCCCTTGTTTCCCACTGACCCAATTCACAGCCCTCAACAGGATTAAATGGCAAGATAAGAAAAAAGCTTTTCATTCTGAAGTTGTAAAACKGACCCTCTTCTCCCTTCAAGAAGCCCCCTGAGAAAGACGAGTATATCGGCCCCAACTGGAACAGATGTCAAAACTCAGAACAGCTCTTTCTTCATAAAGTTTATAAGTATTTTTAAAGGAGGTGGAGGAGTCTAACTATATGCAGCAAGATAACGTTAAAATGCACAGCTTCTCAGGAGTTGAAAGGATGCTTTTCCTACAAACCCTCTCTTCTCTTTATCTTATCTGCATGGAAAGTAAACAGAAAGTCCCCATTACCTCTCGATATCAGTGAGTCTGGAAGAGTCACGGAATCCTTTAGCAAAAGGGTTGCTGTCAATTTTCAGCTTGGTTATCTGGAAACACAGAAAAGAGCAACATTACACGAATATAGTGTTACGGAATTGCAGCGTACAAAGTGTTAACCAGCCCATCCCCTGTGCCTTCACTRCTCATTTTAACTGTGTGCCATGTGCATGTGTGTGTGCTGTTCTGGAGACACTGCAAAGCTGAGGARCAAACCAGGATGCCTTGCACACATGGCAGTGGGGAGACCAAAGGGCACAGAAGGCTCAGCCCTCCTGTTGCCCCGAGCCAGAGGAACCCACCCACAGCATTAGGGCTTCCAAACACTTTKATGGCATCCATCAGTTGTCTTTTCCACGGGCAGTACAAATCACCCTGCTCACAGCTGAGGCTGCCTGGTGGAGCTGCACATCACCCAATGCAAGTCCAAACGACCTGAAGCCATGGCTTCAATTCAACACCATCTATTTTTTTTTTTTTTTTACTGGGATGGAAATGCTTTCAGGCAGGCTTACCAGCCACCACAGAGGGGCAGTTTGACTGGTTTTGCATGAAAGAAGGCTGAGGAAGGGAAGGGAAAATGTGGGGAGAACTCAGATTTAGAGTCACACAGACTGGATTGAAGGAGTAACCCCACTGAAACCATCACAGTCCTTAAAAAACAATTCATGCATAAAAACTTTTCTCCCTTCTTCAAAGACATCTATAAACCTACCCAATCATTCAGTCAGCCTTTCTATTTTGACACAGCAACCCATTGACCAGGAATSCCTCTGGCCCCAAAGCATCTCAGGTCCCCCTAACTTCACAGTGAAACTTTTCAGGCATATGGTGATGGCTTTCAATACTCCTCCCTTTTGAGGAGCAGTAAAAAAACTACAACATTGTCCTTGTGAAATTTTCTATCTATCCAGCCAATTTAGATTTGGTGAATAAAACCTGAGACATAGTTATAATAGTTGGATTTTCTAGCCATACTTTTTCCAAGAGCTAAAAATAAAATTGTAAGTGGGAGTTAGAGCTTGATGAAAGACAACACAGGATGGGTCCTGCAAGGCAATGAATGCCACCAACTCTAGCATAAGCCCATGAAAATCAGAAGTTCTCAGCATTTCATATTTAGGGGTTTTATCAGCCTGACTTCACTAAAAAAAAAAAAAAAGAATCTTTTCCAAATCCTCAAACAATGAGATCAAACAAATGTATTTCAAAATGGGGTAGCTTCTCCCCCAAAATAAAAAAAAAGAAATACAAAAACAAGAGGACAACTGAACTTAACTTTTAATTCTGAGAAAGAAGTCTTCTGGAAGGCAAACCCAGAGAGGAAGGGACATGTTGACAAAGACAAATCTGAGTTTTTTTATTAATAATGTGCAGTGGATTGTTCAAACACCATGGACCTGAGCGCTGCTCAAATGTTTGAGGCTGTCTCATCACTCAGGTACAACTGGTGGAAACACTGAAGCCTGGTCACAAGGACCTTGAAACAGCTCCCAAAATTGTTGCAGTCTCATTCTACTTCCAAGATATCCATAAGCCCTCGACTCATGGTAATATTGCAATGAATATATCACATCCAGTGAATATTTTTATGGCAATGTTCTGGAAACTACCTCAAAAAAAGACAAGCTCTAACTAGTTCCATGGACTGAGATCACCAGCACACCAAGCCAACTGTGCTACAAAACAATAAGGATGTCTATTCATCTCTTGAGCATCTTTTCACCAATCAAACTTGCATCTTCCTAATATTAAAGTTTTGGTATGACATCACAGGAGAAACTTTTTGCATCCACCAAAGCCAGATGAGACTCACAATCATTTATGACCATATTTTTCCTGAGAGACTGTCTCACAAACAATCWGAGAACATCTGCTAGAAAGCATTTTAAAATGAAATCTGACCTACAATTCAACTCTGTGGCAGTGGTTTGACTGTTTAAAAAAATGTGTGCCCTTTAAATCTTAAATTATGAGATAGTTTGTTGAAAGTGTAATGTATTTAGCTTTTATCTAATAACCTCCAGAAATGTAATCAATCCCTCCTTAAAACAGTTCTGAAAGAAATGGCAAAAATGAAAAAAGGCTCCATTTTCATTAGTCATAAATAAAATGACAACATCAACCTCTAGGGGTTCCGGWGATGTTCCATTGAGAAATTTTCCAGGACTCAATGTATGTGCTTTGAGAAGGTTAGTTCAGAAACATCTCTAGTCTAAATATCATTGSTAGACACAAATCCATCCTACAGAAATAAATTCCAGATTTAGCTRATTTTGTGCCTGTTACTATTTTGCTGGTTTCTAAAGAGAGTTACGAGGAAAAATCTAACTGCCTGTCCAAACATTATTTTCTTGAGATTGCCAGGTGCTGAGTGTGTTTTCTACACCATTCAGATACAAATCTGAGTTTAAATCAATACATTAAAGTCTTAAAGCAGGATGTGGGGTCTGTCAAAAGGACAGACTTAGTATTACTATTATTATCTTCAGAGCTTCCTTGGCCCTCTATGCAGTACTTTCATTTTATTCATAGCATTTCAAAATTAATTACTTTTGCTTCATATTAAGAAATACCAATTTCTTTAAATAATCCAGCAGGTACCTTAACTCTATGATGCTGCCCACCCACATGTTTGGGCAGTGCCTATATTTTTTTTAACTTGAGGGCTCTAAGAAGTTAAATAGGTGGTTTTTTTTTTTGAAATGCCATAGTCAGTAAGCCCTTAAAGCACACTCTGAATAACACAGAAGGCAACTACTTATTTCCACTGACTTGAATATTAAAGCCCAATCCACCATCAAGCAGAGCCTCTGTTCTCTGAGTGTTTATAGACGTCCTAAAATTACTCATTAGCAATCCATTGTTATGATCTCCTCCATTTTGTATATATTATTCACTGGCATGCAAATTGAAATTCAAACATCTGGATGTAATCTGGGCAGCCTCTGAAAAGCATATCTCTGAGTGATTTTTCTTACATTTGAACCTTACAGCTTAATTAGTCAACTTTTTAAGCCCATGAAATCATCATGTGCAARCCAGAATCTCTCTCAGCTCGTAGCTTGTGGCATGAAAGATCACTGCAAATAAGAACAGTTCTTTAATGAGCTATAATTAGAAAATGACTAAATGTTAATATGCAAGCAGCTTTTTATAGACAGAAGGCAAGACAAAAGAAAGCCTCTTACTTGTCATTTTTACTCTCATGAATAATCCCCACAGCTCTTTGAAGTCTGTAGTACTACTGTATATTCAGGAATTACTCATGAATGCGAATAAATTTGGTATGGAAAGGTGGGTTATGGCAGAAATTTTCCTAGTTTAGATTGGGCAGAAGGGAGYTTTCAGCAGGGTGGGATCTAGTTATATCTGTGGAAATTATCAACTCTACTCACCAACTGATTCTGGTAGGCAGTGACAGCAGTAAAAACTGTCTCTGGAAAGATGAATGTCCTGAACTCTTCTGATTTCAGGTTTAACAAAGAAGCTGTGTGGTCCTTCTTCTTAATGATGTGGACCCTTGGCTGGTACTTGTGCATGGAGTTCAAAATGATCTGCAAGAAAGAAATGACAAAGCACTGTCCTCAGAGGAAGGTTGGCAGGGCTCTCAAAAGCTATAAAACCATGGCAGGGAAAGAAAATGATCTAATTAACATGGCAGGGGAATCATCCAAAATCTAACCAGCCAGGGGCTGGTTTGCAGAGCAAACTCTCCAGTTCCTTTGGCCAGTTCCAGGAAATGAAGGTGGAAAAGCAGGCATCCCAGGAGCTAGTCTCCTCTCACTCCTACATCACTGGTGAGCATGCATTTCTTGAAGGATAAATACCTGTTCCTACAGGTGAGGTGTTTTRCATACAGAATTAGTGACTGCCAGAGTGTGCACTGGTTTGCAGGTGTGAATATGGATCTCCTGAAAGCTAACGGCCAAGAGCCCTCACTTGGAAAAATGCACAGGTGCAGAACGAAAACAGTCACAAATCCCTCAGAAAAAAAAGCAACGGAAAAAATTAGACCCATCCAAAAACCTACCAGCAGCAACCCAAACCATCTGACCAAAAGTAAAACTCCACGTAGCCTTTCACTGTGGCAARCCTTTAAAACAAACTACTTCATAGATGGTCCTCACCGCAGACTACCAAAAATGAGAGCAAGGAGGGAAACCAGGACGGAACCCCCAAATGACCGGGTTTCGCTATTCTATCCTCATTAATAATTGTTTACGAGCTCCCAAAACAATTCTAAACCTAAGGAACCAACCAACCAATTTCAGCGTTCGCTGGAGTCAAACCAAGAGTCCCCCTTGCTTCAGTTACCACTGGCTGGAGGCCTGTTGGGCTGCCTCTAACCACAGTATTCAATATAAGAATTAAATACAGAGCTCGGCTCACACCAGCCCTTGTTTTGGATATAATCACAGTCACAAGACRAAATTGGCAATGGTGTGGGTGGTTCTATTTTGCAGGGGCCATAACGACATTACRGTCGGCTCCGTACATCTGGAATAGCTAATGTGCATTCCTCAGGAAGCGTTAACTTCAGCTGAAACATAGCAGGAACGGTGCAGTATTTCATACTAAGTCAATGGGAAAGGTTGCACATTGCATTGGAGTGGAGAGCTGAGAGAGCTATGTCATGGCTACAATTTCCATCAGCGTTTTTCTTTGCTGCTCCTTTGGGGCCAAATATTGCCAAGACTCACGTTGGGCCTTTGCAGGAGGCACACAGCAACAAGAAAGACATTACAGTGACAGGGAACCATCATCCTGAAAGCGTTGCAGGTCTGCTTTAGGCAGCTCAGGTCCTTTTTCAAAGCACTTCACGATTTTGTGTAGGAACACACAAAGACCATGGACCCTTCCTGTAATACCCTTAGCACTTTTCCCTCTCCTTGTAAAATTTTGTCTTGGCACCCTAGTTACTGCAGATGGAAGCAGATGGAAGAGACATTTTAAAGCAGGGTGTGTGCATGGTGATGAGCTTCCTGGGGGTTGGCCCACAGACCTTGGTGCTTTTTATTGCCTTTCATGGCCATGATATCCATGTGGAGGCATTATATCTGTGCAGCATTTGAGCRGAAGGAGAAAAAAAATGTGACAGGGCAGCTCCCACACGTGCCCTTTCCTTTCACTCCTCTCTGAATGCAAACTGTGATAGAGAAACTACATTTCTCAARCAAGACCACATAATCCCTTATGAAAGTTTTCCAAAAAATAAAGTGCACATAGATAACATCCCCTGCCATGGAGCTCCACATCATTCATTCCCAGCAGAGGCAAGTCTGGTCATTCATGTACAAAACAAATACCAAATGTAGCCAAGAGATCACAGAAACCCCGTGGCCAAGGTAAGGGTCATCATTTCCTTCCTGAGGGTCTATACATGTGGTACTCCACCTGCACCCCCATGCAAGCCGCTGGTGATGCTCAAAAACACTCCTTAATACCCACCCGTGCAACTTGCTGTGTTGGGACCATATAAAAACAGCTCAAAGGAGTTAGATTTACAGGGTGCACCTCACAGAGTAACCTCACAGAGTTGCTTCAGAGTCTGAGAAGACTCCTCCTGGTTGTGTAGCTATCAGAATATCCCTTATGCCAGGTCTGTGACAATCCTGCTGGCATGTCCCAAGAGACATACACTCATGGCAGCGCCCCTGCACACACTTGCTGGCAGCCACAGCCCCCAGCCACCCCATCCACCGTTGTGCCGACAGTCTGCAGCAGGGAAGATGACCAGGATCCCTCCTTATGGGATCCTGAGTTCTGTAAGGTCAGGCAGGTTTGTAGGCATCTGGCTCCCACTGGCTACAGAGCAGTCTGGATGCCAGCTGCAAAATTCCAAGGTGGTTTTGAATTCAGGAACTGTSCTGTGACAGCCACTTCCATATTCACTAATAATACTATTACCAGGTAAAGTTTTCTTTCTGAAAACATGAAGATTCCTAACTTGTGTGGTTGACTATAAAAAACCTTGGGCATAACTCCTTGTGGCCACACCGAGCCCGCTGCTTTCAGAGTTACTTATTAAACACGTTCACAGCTTTGCATTTGCTTTTGCAAACATTTATGTGTTTGAATTTTGCTATTGTAAATGCCAAAAAAACAATTACAATAATGTATACACTCATGGTTCACCTCACTGTAAACCAGGAATGATAGCACTCCAGTGAAGAGAAACCTAAAGTCCTAAAGAAAACACTTATTGTGAAGAACATCACCAAAAATCTGGGGGGAAAATGTCACATTCGTAAATAKTTTGCAGTCAGAAAAATGGCATTTGCTTGGCTGTAAAAATGCACAGATGACAGGAAACTTGTCTTTCCTCTGGTAAGGATGTCTGAAAGYGTTTCCATGGAGCAAGCTCTATGTCATGCACACAGAGATAAGACTTTTGCCTGATGCTTGGGGAGAATATGTGCATAACTATGGGGTTACACATTCTTCTGAAGGTACACAGGCAGAAATGTTTGCCAACTCCAAAAGTCTCCTTGAATGAGAATGAGAGAAAACAAACATATGCTAGAACAAACAAATGCCTCTCTTTTCTTCAGACTCCTTTTCAGGAAGTGAACACCCTACAAATAAACCGCAATTACCTTAGACATTCATAACTGTCTTCTGGAGGGTGAAGAAAGCAAGCAACTAGAACAAGCTGGAATCAGGCTGGATCCGTCTTCCCTACCTGTAACTAGTATTTAAAGGCGCCTTTTGGGTCATCAACACTTTCTCAGGAATCAACACATATTATCAAACATAATTAAAAAGTGAAGACTGGCTYTTTCTAAATGAAGGGAGAGATTTGAATTTGTGTTTTTATTCTCCTCTTTAYACACAGGAGTTCAGAAATACCGTAGTACAGTGAGTCCTCCTTAAAGGCTCCAGARTACTGATTTCTTCCTTAATTCTACTGATCATCCAATGATGGTAYTCACATAGCTTCAATAAGGCAGCACATCAAACCAGACATGGTTCCTAATTTGGAACATGAATCCCCACAAAATATTGAAAAGGGAGTGCTCCATGAAGGTGTAACACCTGTCACTCAAACCTCAACACAGCCTTCAGGGYTTATCCTGAACTGAACACACAAAATTTCCCATTGTTGTCAGCTGTCCAGAGCCTTTGTGTGAAGAATGGGATAAACCTCTGYTTCTCCGGAAATTAATGGGGAGGCTGCATCTCAAACTCCACRGATCATTTTCTCCCACTGCCTGCATTTGAGACGATTACATCTTCTTGCTCTGCTACATGTCTCAGTTCCCGACAGCTCCTCAGACCTACTCCTGCTTCCTACTCCACTGGGCTTCTGGGAACTGCAGCACTCCTAACTAGCCTGCGATATACTGCTGCCAGCCCTTTATTAGAGGCACACATGGCCCCTGTTATGATGAAAAATGCTTCTTTTTAAGTGCTCACGTATACTGCTCTATCATCACTCGGTGATAGAGCCCACAAATCTTCAGCTTTGCCCTTCTACAGATTATGAAATAAAAGAGAGGGGAAAATAACTTCTCCATACTAGTCACGAAGGGAGCAGCAGTGGGAACTGGATTCAAGAACAATATACCCACAGATGGATCTCTACAAAAGTGCAACACAGAGGCATCTTTCTGGGCTTTCTTCTGTTTATTTGTTTGGGAGTTTCAGCTACTTTTGTTGTTGTTATTTCCAGGATGTATTTTAAATGATCATGGCTGTGAATCAATTCTCAGTTCTTGAAATCAGTGAAAATYCTTTTTTTGGATGAGAAGCATTTGCACAGAACACAGCTCAGACAGATGGCCACTGTCCCACACAGCCCAGGCACTAAACGCCACATGAGGGAAGGGATTTCTGATACGTTGTATTCTGCAATTATTTAGCAGTACCAATTAGTTACCCCTACATTTCAGCATTCAAAATCGCTCCTCTCTTCCCAATGCCTCATTTACTAACACTGCCTTTATGCTCGTTCTTCTGAACTGTCCTGTTGTCATCTAAGAACTCTCAAATCTGTCCCTTTGCTCCTTCTGCCTTCCCTGAGAGAACCACCAAGCCTAGAGGCAACAATTTTAGCTCTTTCTTTGCAATTTGGAGGCATGCCTWCTCGTTCCTGCACTTTACAGGTACTTTTGGGGAGAGGAGAGGACAGACAATATCACCTACCACTAGGCATTCAGAAAACTAAAGGAGTTGTCCCAACTGATGGAGCATAGCAGGAACCCACGGCAAGCAGCTCTGAATCCTATTTACCATCTTCCAGCCTCAAGACCTGTGACAACAAACTGTCACCAGTCAGAGCTGGGACCTGTCTCCTTCAGAGGCCCAAGTCCACCCTGTGGCACCTTGACTTGCAGTTAAGCCTACAAGTATTTCAAAGGCAATCGAGGCACGCTTATTTTTTATAATTCTATAGACGTTGCTTTGGCGTCAGGTCAGTTTTCTTCTGATTCTTATGAGTCTGGAAGTAAAAGAGCTCTCCTTGGTGRAGCCAACCCTAACAGGTTGCCTGAAGTGACCTGCAGGGAGTTTCCAAGCACACATGGAAAAGCACGTGGGTTTGCTGGCCACTGCACGTGGCGGAGCGCGCTGCCAAGTCACACAAAACGCAAGCAGAAGCGCAACAAAAGGCTCAGCTGCCTTCCTTCTATCCCTTGTTCTGATGCTCAGCTCCACCCTGAATTTGTCCCTAATGGATCGTTTGCCTCTAATGGAAGTAGGAGCRTGGTTTAAACTATTGTTCCAGGCTCTACCATATGAAATATTTTTTAAAATCCTGACTTTTAAAGTTGCCAATTCCTCAGCAACAGAGGAACCCAAGAGAACCCTTAAACATGTTAAACCAAACACGTTCAAGCTTCACACATCTTGCAGCACTGCGGAATGAAGGGCTGGCTAAGAGAGGTGTAATGTGGGGGCCATGGCAGCCTTTCCCCACAGCAGTCTCTCTCCCATTTTGCCCTGTGGCACAAGCAAGCAGCTCCCTGGTGATTTCTTTTCCCTTTCCCACCCACAGGGTTACTCACATGGCCATGCTGATCCAGTTCATTGTTGGTGAGTTTGACTTTTTCAAAGGACACCATCTGTTTCAGCAGTTGCTCGCCTGTGAATGGGGAGTCAGGATGGACATACAACCTAAAAAACACAGAGAAAAGGTCTGCTCATTGAAAAATCTCTCCTCTGGGCTTGTGTGTGGGCACCACCTCCATATGAAATCAAAATCACATATCATTTTGCTTTTGGGATATGCAGTGGTTACACAGACACGGACTTGCTGAGAGCTTCGGGTAATAAAAACCTGCTGCTAGAATATGACACCATCTCCTCCATATTAAAGAATTCCTAAAATAAAGCTATTAATGAAGGACAGTAAAGCAGATGACTTATTTAATTCACTGGAACATAATTGAGAATCCTGTGCCTGAGTGCTAGACTGCTCCWTAACCATATTGTTTTATCCCGTTATCTAAAATGGAGACATTAACTAACATTCACTGCTGTGTCTTTTCCCAAATGAAAAATTGATCATGTCTTTCCCCACAGCTGTACTAACAAGCACTTAAAATAACAATGACTACAGCTCCAAGAGAAAAAACATGGTGTCATTACAGAGATAATGGGGGAATGCAGATAAAAATGCATTTTTCTTTATATGTAACATTAAGCCGTGATAATGATTTTAACCTGCACTCGATCACACATTTGCTGTGGTGACGTCTGTTTATAAGAGGTTGAAGGCTGCGGTCCAGCACAGTGGTCTGACATGAAAAATTAGTTGCAGCTCTGCTATTAACAATCCTACACTTGGGAAATTAAGCAGAAGAAAAGGAAGCAAGAAGACATGTAGATACAATGATATATACATTATGACTGCACTAATTACAAGCGCCATGCTATTTAAGAGCAATGGTTTTATAGGAATAATGTACTGCTAAAAATTATTAAYTCCACCGTTCTTTTGTGATGGCAAATGAAGAGCTGGGCTAGACCTTCAACTAGTGCAAACCAGCCCTGTTCTGCTGCTGTGGGCATTGGTTATCACTCACTGAGGGCCTTGCTCTCATTTTGGGTGATGTCTTTGGCCACACAAATGAGTTTCTTCCATTAGGTGGGTGGGGCAGCGCTGAGCTGCCAGGTTAGGAAGATAAACATTTGTCCTTGTTGTTGAGCTACGCTTTTAGAATGGAAAAACCACTAAACGGTGGGGCGTAACTCTCCAATAGACCACGCTGATCCCTAATCAAGGAATGCCCATACTAAAGACGCTGGGGAGCACAGCCCTGTTGCTCAAAGAGGAAGGAGATTTGATCCTCTGTTTTGTTTTTGCCAGCAGAAACCCCAGGACACAGTGAAACTAAAGTTTTACCAGCACAGCTCGCTTCAAATGAGCAGGATGTTTTCCTTACATTGATCCAAAGCATAGCTTGGCTGCTCTAGCTGTGTCCATGGAGGGATGCTGAGCCAGGATTCCTGTCACAATAAAATATTCCTAGCATGCAGGCGTCCTTACTGCTATCATCTCTGCAAAGCTCATAAAAAATGATGATGTATTCGAAAACCAAAGACCTGGAATCATGTTATGTCAAAAGAATCTTTGCTCTCATGAAAACTAATTTTTCCTTATTCTAAAAAAACCTGAAAATCTCAATATTTAGAGCTTTGGATTCGAGAAGACAAAACAAAAAGACTCCCAAACATGTCCTGCAACTTTTCAGCCAGCCTTGTGTTAATTTTTTTGGAGCCTGACTCCTAATTTTGAATGTCTGGATAGCTAATAATGTTTACTATGATCACAGAGTGTCAGACACAGCAAGGTTTGGCTAATTGGGTCCGAAAAGCCAAAGTATTTCAAATATGTGCTGGGGAATGAGTAAAGACCTCCCTGTGTTGAAAAGCTGAGCACAATTGTTTTACACCACCGATGGTTAAYGCTTGGCACTGCTTTAGAGCCACCAAGTGCCTGTAAGCAGAAAAGTCTGTCAAGGATGGGCACCAGAGTATCAGTTACTGAAATGCAAAATTGACCTCACTTTTCTTTATGCATTTGCCACACTCCATCGATCCCACTGAAACGTGGAGTCCACCTGGTGAGCTACACCTGTTTCCCACACTTGTCCMGCAGCCCGAGCTTGCACACCTCAGGGAAGAGGGCTAAACACTTGGCACAGTATTTCTGAAGCAGGAGTTKTTGGCAAGACCACGAGAGCGCACGAGCAGCCGGGTCAGCGAGATAAATGCGCACATTCCAGGGCAGCACGCGAGGCTCTCCCAGGAGTTTGCACGGGATCGGCTGCCTAAGGCCAGCCAGGGGTGAGGAGCTGCTCACTTTGATTCACAAAGGATTTAGGAGCCATATTTGGGTGTGAATTTGCTCCACGGTATATAATGTTTTATGATACATGCAAGGTTTGGGTACTTCTTTCTTGCGTATTTTGGAATGTGACACTACACTCCCTCAATTTAGTTTAACAGATRGTCTGGTCACACAAGCCCCATGCATGCTACTTTTATTTACCATAATGGCTCAAATAATTTGTGAAATATAATACCTTATAAAGGTTTCCTGCCTAGAGCTCTCTGTAAATCTGTAAACACTGTAACTTCATTATTGTAGACAAGTACAGTTCAAAAAAAAAAAAACAATAAACTTTTGAGTGAAAGAAAAGTGGCAAAAATAAGATCAAATAAGGGTACATGCTGAAACTTACTGAACTGATGTTTCACACAGTCTTAACAATGTGGAAGACAAACACAAAATATCACATAGGAACTCTATCCCCAGATAGCACTTAAGAAGATTTACGAAAGACTCTCTGAGAAGTATTTTTATTTAAGTGTTCATTGCAACATAAACTTATTCATTGCAACATAAACTTGTCTTCAACACTGACAGCAGGAAGACAAGGATAAAACTGGTTTTAATAGAAAGTTCCCTGAAGGGCTAATCTTTCAAACAGAATCACAGAATACTTATTAATTTGAAAAAAGCCAAAAACCCCTACAAAACTGTCTTAGTGTTGAAAGTTGTTTTTTAATAATGGAAAGAGCAAACCATCGAACTGGTTCAATCCTGCAAAGTCTTACACCCAGGCACAATGAAACTCCCGAATAATTCCCCTGATGTCACTGTGCCTGTGCAGATGCAAGCAGTGATGTGTGTGGGGGTATGTACCTTTTTTACCAGTGCCCAGACACTGCCCACACAAACGCCTCTCACTGCTGTTCCTCAAGCAGGGAGAGCTAAAACCCTATGTTTGGAGGACAAGAAATTATAACTTCATTAAAGGCTACTGTTACTGGAGCAGGACCAAACTTGTTTCAAGATGGGAAGAGAAGTACTTTTAATGTGTTCAAACAAGACTGAGGCCTCCCACCTCAAAAGATGCATTAACACTGTAGAAGTTGTGCTGGTGAATGCAAACATTGGCACGCTGGACCTCCTGACATCCTTTTTCTCACCAAGAAGAAAGCAGAAATATAAGGAAGACAAAGTGCATAAATGTATATGTAGGTACCAACCACACAAAGAAAAAGCCCTCTATGCCTGTGCCCTGACCAATAGTCTGTTTAGATAACCATCCTGAAAATGGAGCAGGAAAGGTGTGCATTTGCATATGGGGGCAAAGCATCCTGAACGGGGATGCCTCAATACGCAATTGCACGTGGGCACTGATCTGTTGAGGATCCCAAAATATTAACACAGTACAATAGTAATTACTATTTAACTTCAAGAAGGTTTTATCTAATACTCAGTAGGGCAGTCGCTAATTATTCCAAAGATCCTTGTGTCATGTTCTAGGATTTCCTCGTTGAGTGAGTCTATGCCAGGGAAAGTGTGAATTAGAAATCTATTTAAAGGTATGCCAAAAGGGGCGTGAATAGAAAAATAAGAAGGGAAAAACCCTGCCTTAAAACTATTTTTGTCCTTCTGTTATTCCTTCTTTTGATGCCGACTCCTTTGGAGCAGGATCTGTGTTTTTTTCTTTGGGTTTTGATCAGTGCCCATTACAATACGTCAAAAGAAGCCCTCAGACGTTAACCACATTGCAAGAAGGAGTTTTTGGCCATGAAAACAAAGCAGACATAACTCCTAGGTTGCTGTCTTTAATCACAGCTTCTCTGCTTGCGCTTTTTGTTTGTTTACTTCCCTGAACAGCCTTCCAGAGATCACCAGTCACCAAGATTTCAGTTCAACTATTTATATAAGGAAATCATGCAGTATWTGGTGCCTATACTCACACCCCCCCAAAAAAAAATTGTTTCCATTCCTTGTGTTTCACTTATAATTTCTGCCTCTGTAATAAGTGAGTTCKTAACCCCAGGCTAAGCCACCTGGAGCAGATCCGTGTTCCTGCGCGGAGCCCTCCGCAGAAAGTCTCTTTGAAGGCAGAGAGGCATCCGCRTTATTTCCCTATCTCCGGCTCTGACTCAGCAAAGCCTTTCGACATGTGCTGCAGTCTTACTGGACTTGGGGACTGAAGTAGGTACAGAAGTGCTGGGCTGAATATGATGAAGTGTGGGTCWCCTCTGAAGTGCCCTCCCACTGTACAGCCCAGCGCTGCAGCCTCAGTTGCTTAAAGGAATCAGTCATTAATTGCATTAATGAAACGACTTCAGAAATCTTTGCAGTGTTTGTTTCCATATAGAAAAGGGAGTTTATTTTAAAGGATGTGTTTTATGGAGGATTTTTTCCCTGATGTCTCAGAATATATCATGATTTCTTAACGAAAAAAAGGTAACTTTGCCGTAGAACTGATCTGTACTTTGCCTGCTGTCTAAGAGATGCTTCAAAATCAAGAAAAAAAAAATTGGTTAGCAAATGCTGGATATGTTACAGAAATAATATAATTTCAAGTATAAACAGCACTGAACTGTAATTTATTTCTGCTTTGGTTTGGCTGGTGGTGCCTGGATTGCTTTAAATTATGAGGTCAAATATTGGGGGGAGGACAAATCCCAGAGACAAATAATTTTTTTTTAAAACTTTCTTATCTGACTCACAATAAACTTCACTAAAATTTTTTTTGAACAAACAATATATATAAAATTACCCCTAACCAAATTCTGCACTCCAATTCTTCGAATATTTAGTGTACATCAAACCTCAAGCAGAGATTTGAGGCCAGATTCTGCAAYACAAAAATTTATCAGAGTTTTGTAACCAACTTTGTTGAGCGTGGACTCAAAAWCTCAGAGCACTGTTTGCAAACAGAATGGAAAGATCAATACAAGGTATTTCTTRAAGAAAAAAAAAGTAAAGAGAAATAAAAGACAGGCAATAAAATGTACAAACCTTGCAGGGAGAGGAGGGTCAGCTTTTCCAGCGACTAACCAGGAAGACCTGTGGTAGGCATATCTATATCTTTTATTGTCCACGGGAACTATATCCATTAACACAATATACTTGGCCTCGGGATCCACTCCCGAGAAGGAAACCCTGATCGTAGGAAACATTCTCCTGAAATAAAGGCAAATCAGAAAATAAATATTTGGACAGAGAACAGAAATAAGAGAGCTTCTGAACAGCTGCTAAAAGTAAGAATTATACTTAAACCCCCTGAAAAACCTGAAAGCGTTTATTGATTTTGCTTCCACATGATGGAAGTTAAATCCTATATCTCTCTAATAMGGAGACAAAAAGCAGCTTGAAATCAAAACAATATATGAGAAGCAAAAAGAAAAATATTGTAGAAGTGAAAATGGAGTTAAAAGTACGCAACGGTTTCAGAAAATATTTGTAGCTAAGGTACATAAATCTTTAGAGACGTGGATTTTCTTTTAGTTATTTAATTTTTTACGGGATCCATACTACTGTAAGGGAAATAATCCAGAAATTATTTCGGTTATTATTCTCCCATATTTTAGATGAGTGTTTTTTTAAGACTCTCGATGCTTTTGAGTGTAATTCTCAAAACTAAATTCTTTCTTTTCTGCAACAAACTTTTGACAAAATTCACTTTTAAAATGTAAAGTTATGCTGTAGACCAAAAATAAAGTTAAATTATTTTTAACAGTTTAAAAATTTTAACTTTAAATTGCGTGTCGATATGTGCTTTTTTAAAAAAGCATATGCCAATAGAGTTCACCAGTTAGAGGGGAAAAACAAAAAAAACTTCAGGAACTACATTAATGAAAAATAACTTTGGGGATTAAAAAACCCGAAAAGGCATTTGGCTGCTCCGGACTTCGTCTGACTGACCCAAAATCCAAAAGCTTTACTGAAGAAACGGCATGGTTTGAGGTGACAAGAAAGCCCGGAAATCTTTTGCGCATTTTTGCAACAGAGAGGAAAGAACAAACCAAACCAAGCTCTGACTGAATCACTCCCCSACGACCCCGCGTTTCCTACCCCTCTTTTCTCGGTCTGTATCAACCCGGCCCCTCAAAATCACTGCGGGATTTTWGTCACAGAGCTGATTATTAGGGAAACAACACTCCTACCCTGCTTCAGGACACCCAGAATGGATTTCAGCCGGCCCCGCTGCCGCCCCGGGCCGCCTCTCCCTCTGCCCCTCCGCGCACCGCACCGCGCACCGCACCGCCGGGCTGGGCCCGCCGAGGGGCTGCGGCAAATATGCGGCTTCATCCTCCTCCTTCCCCCCTTAGCCCAGCCGTTCCGACACTAAAAACTGCGGGGTTTCGGTAACTTTGTCTCTTTTCCCCACTATACAAAGCCACTTTTCGCAAGATGCCCAGAGGGAAACATCGGGGCTGCCCAGCCTTACCTCCCGGATTTCGTGATGATCATCTCGGTACCCAGYTCGTGAAACTTGTCCCAGAGCTCTTTGGTTTCCAGGCTGCAGGAGATTTTGGCCATCTCCTCGCTGGGGATGATGGGGGTGGTGGGGATGAGGGGCTCGGTGCACAGGGAAGAAGGGCTGCTGCTAAAATCCCCGTGAGGATCCAGGCTGGATAAATCGCTCAAAGGCTGGGCGCAAGAGGATTTCTCAACGAATTGTTCTGTGGGGTTTGAGGGAAAAGAGAGAGAGAGAGAGAGAGGAAGAGAGAAAAAGAAAGAGAAAGAGAGAGAGAGAGAGAGAGAGAGGATTCAGTCAGGATAACGCGACCACCGAGACAAGCTACTTAAAATATACATATATATATATATAAATACATAAATATATATATATATATATATGTATGTATGTAAAAAAGGCATTTATCGCTCGACTGCCCCCGCTCATCCGCAGCACGCCCGCAGACCCGGCGGATTCTTTAGGTGTCCGCTCATCATTTGAGAGCAGCAGTGGTGACTTTCGGAGATGAGCTCCGGCAAGAGCCCGGAGCGGCGCCACTCCCCAGGGACGCACCGGGAGAAACTCCCGGGGGGCGGCGGGAGCAGTACGGCCCCGGCCTCGGCTGTGACCCGCTCCGCGGGGTGCGGCGGGGCAGAGCCAGACCTGCGCRATGCCTCCCCCCGCTAACCGAGGGGTTCCACGGAAAGGTCACTAATTCTCATTAAAACGGGAGTGTTGGGCGCCGAGGTGCTGCTGAAGGCCAGGGCCACGCTGGGGAAGAACGGGAGGCTGCTCCTGGATTGCGCCGCTGGCAGACAGCGCAAGCACAAGGAGCCCGAGCGCGGCCGCGAAGGCTCCGCGCTTCCTCCGCGGGGAAGCGAACCCCAAATACCAATTGAACAGCGGGCACGGGCTCACCCTCACGGAAAGATGKTTTTCTCCCAACCGGTTTGCTGACAATGAACACGCTCCTTTGGAAAAACAGGCTCCAGGAGAGCTGCGTGCGGCCGCGCAACCTACGCGGGTGCAGTGGCTGCTGCCGCCGCCGCCCGCCTGCCGCCCCGGGCTCCCGCCGGCTCTGCCGCCCGCTCCGCAAGCCCCGGGAGGTTTCGGGCCCTTCAGCAGCTCCGCTGGGAGTTTCCGCCGAAGGCGAGGACGGGAGGGAGCGGGGTTGGGAAGGCTCTGCCCCGGCCCCGCGATGCGGCACCGGGATGGGGCGACGGATCCGCTGTCCGGCGCCAAAGAACGGGAGGTGCACGAACGCGCCCTGCTCCTCCAGGGAAAGGTTTTGCCCCAAGCGCCAGTTAATAAAAGCCGAGTTACAAGCAGTCGTTTCCCTTGGATTTTTAGTCGAACGACATATGGGAAGGGGTTAAAATTTTTTTAAAAGTTAAATTAAATAAGCGTTTTCCGGAAAAAGGAAAAAAGAAACCAAACCAGAACCAAACCAACCCCACTAAAACTAACTTTAGCACAAACCCATGTAAATATGCCGAACGGGAATKCTACAACATTTCCGGCCTACGTTAGCGCCCAGACTGAAAAATAAAGTTCACAGTGAATCCCTGGACTATGTGAAATCTTTTGAGAGAGTTGATTAGATGGAGCAGGCGCTGAGGGAGCTGCCTTTTCTAAATTCTTTTAAGATTGAGTGTAATCCTGTTCATAGGCGCCCTGAAAGCTTAACACATATTTTGTAGTTTTCTGCGAACTCCTGGATACACACAAGGATTGACAAACCGCAGAAACTTGGAGGGAGGAGAGGAGGGGAAGATGTTAATGYTTTTTAAAAGCTTTCAAGATTCTGAATCGAGGCAACCGAATAGAAGTGAAATCCCTTACCCGAAAATCGCAAGCACTTACAAAAAAACTCCTGGTCTGTGTAGAGCAAAACAGCCTATATGAGCCTACTTCGAGGAGCTGTGGAGTGAGGGGTATTTCAGGTCTACGCAAAGATTTTACTATCCCTTTGAAGCATAGGCACGATAGCGGAGAGTCTCTTATTTTACTTCAGAACCAGGGAGGATTTACAATAAATACTTAAGAGATTAATTTCATATCAGCCTAGAGAAATGGAACTACCTCAGAGTGGATTATTCTACGAATGGCGAAGCTGGATAAATAAGAGGCTTTAAACAGCCTTGCCTGAAAACGACTGTGGGTGATGAGGACCCTCAACCAGCTAAGGTGATGCGACTTTCCCCTCCGCAGGGGAAACCTTCGGGCAGGCGGACGCGCCGCTGCCCGGCCCGACTGCCGGAGCTCTGAGATGGGTGAGCCAGGGCCGCTAGGGACGGACGGACGGACGGACGGACGGGAGCTCCGCACCCCACGGACACCGGCGGTCACCCCCGTTCCCACTCACCCAGAGGCTTGATGGTGCTCTCGGGAGACTCCTTGTCCTTGGAGCTGCCGCTCGACATGAGGGCGGCGATGGAGAAGGCGTTGGCCCGGGAGGAGAGCTGCGGCTTGGGGGGCGGCGTGTACTCCATGGCCACGGCGCGGGGAAGCGGCGCGGCTCGGTGCGGTGCGGTGCGGCGCTGCCCGGACGGGGCGGGCGGGAGGACCGGCCGAGGATGGCGGAGCCGGGATACCGGGAGCGCTCTGCTCCCGGCGCCGCGCGCTCCCCCGCCTTAACGCGGGGCCGCGGAGATCCTATCGGCCGGCGGCCAATCGGCGCCGGGACACGTCAAGGGCCCCGGCCCGGCCCGGCCCGGCCGCGGGGGAGGGGGCGGAGGCGGGCAGCAACAACAACAGCAGCAGCAGCAGCAGCAGCAGCAGCAGCAGCAGCAGCAGGAGCAGGGGCAGGAGCAGGAGCAGGAGGAGGGACAGACGGGAGGGAGGGGAGGGGGAGGGCTCTGCCCGCCCGCCGGGTGGGGAGGGGGCGGCCGGCCCTCGGGACGGCTCCCCGCAGCCGCTTCCCTTTTGGGCACCCCAGCCCCGCTCCCCACCGAGGCCCCGCTGCGGTTCGGGGTGCGCCCTCCGCTCCCCTGAGCCCAGCGGCGGGAAGGGAGGGGGCAGGCCGCGCGGCCGGGGATGCTCCCGAGAAGGTCCCTRGGCTGTTCGCTTTGCCGAGGCAAGAAACGGCGGAAAGGCGCTTGAAAGGCTGAAATGAATGGATTTTTCTGGTGCGTGCGTGTGAGTGTCAATTTTCTCTTTTGCATTCAAATATTAAAAGACCACAGCTTTCAAAGCAGCCGTTTTCGTCGTTGTGYGCTTTCTGCTGGGACAGAATGTTCCTTAACGCTGGTCGTGCCCTTGGTTTTCCTGCACCGGATACCAAATATTGTCATCCCGGTGAGATGCACTCGCCCCCACCGGCTCCAGGTGAGACCCTTGCTGCATTCCCTTCTCAGCCAAACCGGTRCGTGGGCCGCTGATCGCACAGTTCTCTTCAACTCCGTTTCGYCGGCTCCGCCGAAATAGATGGTATTGATCGAGCACATAAAACAGAGAAAGTCAGAAGGGGCTGAYGGTGCCAACGAGCAGATTACTCCAAGTCAGTGATTTAAGTAAGTTGCTCACCACTACTCTTTCACACATATAATGTAAACATACTCTCACAAATAAATGAATAAAAGCGGGGCGTTTAATTAAATTCCTTTAAATAAAAATATGGCTGAAACTATTTATTCGCTATAAAGACTCACAAGAGGACATGCAACTTTGTCTCTGAAGTTCCATCTTTTAAACCTAGAACAGAATACAAGGACTTTTAGTGTGCCAGGCTTGTGCCAGGAGCCATGCTTWCCGGGGGCCACTCCCGTCCCTGCTGCACTTTAATTAATATGGAAAAACAATTATTCGGGTCAACCTTCACAGCCAGGGAAGTGGGGAAGATAAAACAGCGCTTTATCGCTTTGAGATCAGCGAGAATCAACTGCAGTTTGCCTTTTTATAATAGATAGAATATCTATCACAAACGGGACGCGCATATTTAGAAGCCCCTGAAGCGCCTGGCAGAGGATCTCAGCGTGGCCCACAGTGGTCTGGGGGCCCGGTCTCGCTTCAGACATCAGCGGGAGGAGAKGGACGAAAGGAGAAAGCCCAGCCAGCCCTGCGACAGGCGAGCAGGRAGGGTCAGCTCATGAAGCATCGCCTCTAGCTTGACACAGGGAAACCGAGACGAGCGGTTGTGCCGACATCAATCTTAAGAACACAAACAAAAAAAAACCCAGACACTTTACCACTTTATCCCGAGGGACATCCCTCCAACTGCGGGTCTGGTTTCCCCGCGGGACAGTCCCGCTCCTGGGACCCTTCCCCGAGCGGCGGAGGGAAGAGAGTCCCGAAGTCCCGGCCCGGCGCTCCCTTGGCCCTACCTGAAAAGCAGGGTCCGGCCTGCCTAAAAAGAAAGACAAAGGAGGGTACAAAGAGCCGGAGAAATTATTCTCTTCACCGTTTCTCTGGTGGTGACAGGGATGCCTAAGTCTGCTTTGGTTTCCTACCTACTGTATGCGCCGCGCAAATAAGGATAACAAAACCCACAAGCTCCCGTCAAAGTAACAGCGCAGAT